GGATACCAGGCTAGTCATTGACTGCAGCAACCAGCAAACACGCAACAAGAACAGACAGACTAATTGGAATACATAAGATCAAATGCACAAAGGTACAGATGTATAGTGCTTAATATTATAATTATATTAGTAGAGTATGGATTAATCTGACATCTAGCCCACAGCGAGCCACCAGTCAGTTGACACTCGGGCTATTACTAAATTAGACCAGATAGTAGATTCTAGTGCATCAGTGCACCTATTCCCCAAAAAATGATCTAATCTACCTTGTTTAATCCATTGATTTATGAACATCATAAACTCAAAACCCAGGGGTGGCCCCAAACTGCAGCGACCCCATCCAAGAAGTCCACAGAAGTTGACAGATGACCAGTAAATTAGGTCACAATTCCTTAGTCTCCACCAGACTCCTTTTGCTGGCTAAATAGATCGTAGAAATGGCCTAAAAGGGGATATAATTGGCCAGAGAAGGTAGCCGACCAAAGAGGGTCCAGTTGGTCTGCACTCTCTTCTGGCCAATTATATCCCCTTTTAGGCCGATTTCTACGATTTATTCACCCTGCAAAAGAAGTCTGGTGGAGACTATTATACATATGGTCCGCCTACTACTATATAGGTCATAGCCTCGGTGCCATCCCACTTGGTACGGCTTCATAACACACTCTTGTTAGCCGAAAAAAGGATGTAGACGATCACATACTTTTCGTTTGGTGATTTGTATATTCGTCTTGATATTTTCCAAGCGTAATGGTCACATCTATGGATTTTATTAAGGGGATAGCGAGTGTAAGGATCCCGTAGAAAATAGGACGGCACCTAGGCTAACCCCAAAGTTGCACCACATGTCCTTGTGTCCTGGATATTTTCGCACTGGGGTCAGTCGAGTGTGAGGTATCTGGTTTCAACATAAGCCACAAAAGAGTACTCTAAAGTAGCATGCATCGAGAACAAAGTTTTCGAGTCCCTAGTCACATCTAGCCTCCATAGCATGCCAAAAAATGGGGGTCTTCAGGGTCTTTGGGAGCATTTATGTGCTATTTTCTGATTGCATATAGACAACATAGCCGGCCTGGTTGAATTACCCCCGTTTTTTTAGAGCTGGGCTAATCAGAAAACAGCCGAAGACCTACACCAAACCCCCAGTTCTATAAGCCTGCTTCGGAGGCTGAATCACATCTAGCCGTGGACGACTCTGGTACCCTTTTTGCATGATAATGCCGGGACAAAAAGGGTACCAGAGTCGTCCACGGCTAAATCACATCTATGTTTATGATTTTTAAAAAGAGAAAAGTATGTGACTGCTTTCACCCTCATAATGTGGTCAAAATTATATTATGATCGCCCACTTAACTTGTGTTTACGTCCACTTAAGATCGTTTTAAGAGCTTCTAACTCAGGAAATAAAACAACTTTCAACACACACCTGCTACATAAGACCAAGCATAACATCCTTGATTAAGTGTCACACCATGTCATGGCAAAGATCAAGTAAAAATACGGAGTTACCTTCGAAGTTATGCCGATCGGCCTCTCCCTTGCTTCCAACACCCGCGCCTGATTTTGTTTTTCTCTACGTCTGGGAACGGATCAATTTACCGGTGGCAAACTGGCCCGCTCCGGTTAAAACCGGCTGGGGGGCCCTCCAGCACTGTTGTTTATTGATAGCAGAACGCCCCACGTGCTTCTGTTGACATGTGACGTATGGGCGGGGGTCCCAATACGGCCGCCGATTGGCTTAAAGTCACGTGTTATTGTTTACATGTAAGGAGGTGGGGCATCAGTGCGGATGGCGATTGGTTGTTGGTTAGACGGGTCCATTCTATGCGGGGGGAGTTTTATTATGCCAATTTCAGGACTACAATGGCAATTTCAGAACCAAAATACTCTAGTATCACTTTATATGAGACTAAGGCCTAACTATAGAAGTCTTTAGATCCCAAATAATATGAACCATCACGATTTATTAAACATAATATAACAGTTAACTGATATCCAAAAAAATATGGTATCACAGTTTACTATTTTATTGTTTTTGGATAAAATATTACTATAGATCGTCATAATTTCATTATTAATATACTGTACATGCATTGCCAGTCAGTTTCTCCCCCTTTTTAGTTCGATGAATCTCCGAATAAACAGTTTTTGGACACCCCTCAAAAATGAGCAAGTGATCAAGTGGACTCGTCCATAACTAAGGCTAAAGGTCAGCATCAGACAAATGGCGGAAGAAGAGGAAAGAGTTCTGGTGAGCATCGAAATTTGTCGATTTTAAGGCGCTTTGAGGGAAAGTTGCGTCTTCAGACTGGTAGAAAATTGTGAAAAAAGATAGGGGGTTCAAAAGCGTCCATTTCTGGCAGCAACGGTGTAGCACTTGCCCTTAAAACTCGCGATTCAAACATGCATAATCGTGTTTTCATTTTAGTCATAATTCACCAGTGTATGGAGGGGGTTGTCTTCTGTCTGTCTGTTTGTTTGCGTGCTTGCTTGCTTGTGTTTCTGTAGTTATTTTCACAAGCTCTGCAGGTCTTAACACTGACAGGAATTTAGATCAAAGGTCCCAGAAAATGTCATCTCATATAAATTTTCATGCCTTAATTTTTTCAGTTATATAAACAAGTAGATATGCATGTTTGTTGCCCAATGGGCAAATGCATCTATTACTATAGTATTAGACAGAATCAGCATCTAATAGAACAAAATTTAACACAGTGTGCATCGTCGACGTCCTGGTGGCTGTCGCCCAACCAACATGCACACTACTGGAAAGGGTTGTGGTCCTTGTGGTCCACTGTGTGTTGTACTTATTGAACTCACTCGAAAAGTGCTAGGGAAATTTCCTGGTAACGCATGCGTTACAATGAAACTGTACTGAAAATACTGTACATAGCGTCAGTCTTCTCTGTCACAACCAGAGGAAGAAAAGTTCCTCAGTGAGCATAAACTGGATTAAGACCACGTCCAGTGTTTGTTTGCTGTTTATTTTGTTTGTTTGTTTGTTATTTTCAGCAGGAGGAGTTCAGGTGGCTGCTGTTGCACGAAGTCAACGCAGTCCTGAGGCAGCTGCAGTCTGTGCTGCAGGTAATGTTTCCTTACTTCTTTTCAAGAAAGTTGCTCTGTTTTGCAATTGTTATAGCGAAAAAGTTTTGCCGAATACTTTGAATTTTTATCCTGGGTGCTGGTGCTATTGCAACAGCGAGTATATAGGCGTCACTAACTACCTGCCCAATGGATCCTGGATCTTTTGGCCGAACTGGTTTATGCGCTGGTTGTGAGCTGACACAAGCAGCGCAGGTTTGATTCCCAGGGGTCAGAGTCAACCTTCGAGTTACTCCTAAGAAATTCTCATGTGTTACACTACCCTATTTTTATACTTGCTCCTTAAGAAATATGGAAGTATAGGAGCTCATCATACAAATAGGATGGTACCATGATGGCTTTTGATTTTGTGTTCAATACAGAATGTTTTTCCCCCCTACAGGAGTGCAGTAAATGGTTCCTGCTGCCCGGCTCCAGTAAGTAACATTACAACTTACATGTGCCCTTTTCAGGACAACTTGGCAACATAACAATTCAGCCCCTACTCAATCTGGGCAATTTTATACCATAACTAGAACGACTTAGGTTACAGTTACAGTTAGGGTTAGGGTTAGGGTCAGGCTTAGCCTGTGAAACCCAAGCTCCGGGGGGCTCCCTACATAGTCCGCCGAATAGGTGGCGGACTAACTAGGGAGCCGGTGAAAAGCGAGGTTCAGTCAGGCTAGGGTCAGGCTTAGAGTTGAGTTAGAATTAGGCATCCTCTTGCCAGTCTTGGCAGTGAAACAGCCCTAGCTAGGCACGGTGCAGAGTTGTCCAGATTCACTATGTCACAAGTTGACACATGAACAGCTTTTTGCACTAACTAGTAGAAGGTTTCTCAGCCCATCATATAACAAGCCTGATTTTATGCTTTTATCTGGGTCTGTAGAGAGTTGTACTTCCGGAAACTACAATGTAATGTCCTGTTTCTGTGTTGTTTTCAGCTGAATCCTGTTTGGTGAAGGCAGAGAAATACCTCCTCACAAGTGCAACGTGAGTCAACCTTCAGCATACTAAGTTAGCTGTTTGGCACCGACTTTGTGTTGGATATGGGATTAAGCAGTAGGGAGAAGGTTAAAAACATGTGTAGTGTTCACAGCCATACTTAATTCAGGCTAGGAATGCATTGCCTGCAGTTGTCAACAAAAAGGCTTTTATATAACTTTCATAAATTTAAGTATGATTAAAAACACAATGTAGATTTGACCATGTTCCAAACTTCCAACTTCCCACCTTGTGCTACTAAGTTGTGGTGGGTAAATTTTTGCCTTCTTTTATTAATATTTGATATTGCCACCTTATTTCTGGCTGTAATTTCTCTTGTAGCAGATAGGGGGAGCAAATGACAAGGCTTGATCGTTGTGTTTTGCTGCATGTTTTGCTTTAGGGGTGCTGACAATGTGAAGGCAGTCATCACCCTGTACGGAGACAACATCTGCACTGCAGTAAGTATGGCACCATTTTTACCATGTTTTCCAATGTATAATTATTACAACAGTCTGTACTACAAAATTCACAATTTCCACTGCAAACTTTAAACATTAGCCTCCGTAGCAGGCATATAGAACTGGGGGTTTGGTGGTCTTCGGCTGTTAGCCTCCGTAGCAGGCTTATAGAACTGGGGGTTTGGTGGTCTTCGGCTGTTAGCCTCCGTAGCAGGCTTATAGAACTGGGGGTTTGGTGGTCTTCAACTGTTTTCTGATTAGCCCAGTTCAAAAAACCGGGGTAATTCAACCAGGCCGGCTAGGTTGTCTATATGCAATCAAAAAATAGCATATAACAGCTCCCAAAGACCCTGAAAACCCCCAAAACCTTCTGGACCAGTTTTTGGCATGCTAGTATGGAGGCTATTAAACATACTGGTTTTAAAACAACCCCTTCCCATTCTCTTGGAGTGAATTCTCAATTCTCACTTCTCAATTAATTAAGTGGCCGCAATAATAAAAGAATTTTTTTACGCTACATTTTTTTGTTTTCCTGCAGGACATGAGTGTGAAGGTACATCGCCACTCGACGCAGAATTTCCGCACCAGCTTCAGAGAGGGGCTGCAATGGAAGCTACAGGCGGTGAGTGTTTCTTTGCTTTTACTTACTTACTTGTACAAGTTGAGGTGTCCTCGAGTCAGTCGTTTGAGTGGCCTGCGCACAGAACTCGTCTCTTCCTCAACAGTCCCCTCCACTTCTTCCTGTCTTTTGCTAATTCCTTTTAATTAGCTCTTCTAGACTGGTGCTAGGCCTCCCAGTAATTAGCGTAGCATCTTCCAGGACACAGTTAATCCATGATTTCCTGGGCCTTCCCCTTGAGCGTCGCTCATAATTCGGTTTCCAGTCCAGTAAGTACCTGGGCAGCCGCTCTTCAGGCATTCTTGCAATGTGCCCTAACCACCTCAGCCTGTTGAGAACTACGGTTGTGGCTATGTTTGCTAACTGTGCTTACCTCCATGAGAATGGACAATCTTTTTGATACATTTTGCTTTCCCTTATTTACTTCTTCACTCATGACATCAATGAAAATTGTTGTCTCCACCAGACTCCTTTTGCAGGCTGAATAAATAGTAGAAATCGGCCTAAAAGGGGATATCATTGGCCAGAGGAGTTGGCCCCCAAAGAAGTTCCATTTTGCCTGTACTTGCAGGCTCAAATATTAATAAAGCAAACAAACAAACAGAGGTATTTTTTGGCATATCTGTTTGTCTGTGTTCCTATATAGTTTTTCAGAGGTTGCTTTTGTTACATTTTGAGGATATGCCCAAGGGATACTTTAATTTGGGACCCGAGAATACCCATTTTCACCTGATCATGTGATAGATCATGAGACCATCATGTGACTGATCATGTGACAATCATGTGACTTACAGATCCAGAATGCGGCCAATCACCTGCAGGCAGCTCTGGATCATGTGACCAGCATCGAGCAGGGCTACCAGTTCCAGACTGGGGAGGAGGTCGTAAAGGTCAGCACACAAACTTTGACTTCTGACCTTTGTGTTTGACCTTTTTTGTTGCACCAGGTATCTAATACTTACACCGATTTGTAAGAACACAATAGTACAGAACAGTGTAATGCCACGATCATGCAACAACTATCTAAGACTATCTAACCTCTACTTCTACCTAAGGACCACTTTGGCCATTCTGGCCACTTTTTGCTAAAAGAATCACGTCTATTGTGCCACCTCCCAACTGTAGTCTTTCATAGACAGATTAAGCCCTACAAATTTTCATTAGCTGCAGCTCTCATGCAATCTGCAAGGTAGAGCTGTTGAGAAGTGCCCTAACAGTTGCTCCCATTTGTCCTGCTGTGCCCTTTAGGTGATGGATGACATCATGGGTCGCCTGAACCGCGGGCGGGACTGTCTCACTACGCCGCGCAAGAGAACCCTGGAGGAACTCTACTCAAGTAAAATTATGGTGAGAGGATCAAGATATGTTCCTGTATCTGTATCTGTATAACCGCCTTTCGGCACAACACACCAGCTTCGCAGGCACGCGGCGCGGCGACAGCTGGCTATATTACACCGATCAACTTGTTACACCTAACCCTTTGGACATCTAATTCTATACATTGTTTAAAGCTATCCAATGATAATACCCCTACTGTACTTGGTCACAGTGAGTTCCACTCTGCGATAGTTCTAGGAAAGAATGAATTTTTGAATACCTCAATCCTTGGTTGATAACTCTGGTACTTGAATGAATGGCTGTATCATGTTTATTGCTGAGTCAATGAATGCTTGTGGTGTTGAATTGCAGAGTGGCTAGGTTAGTAGTTAACGTGACATTGATAGGCCTCTGATTCCGCCTTTGGTTCACAGAAAATGTTCAGTCCAGCCCTCCCCAACGAAGTCATTGTGAGTTTCCACATCCACTGCCACAAGCTTGTGCTGGGGGCCTACCAGGTACATCCCCTGCAGAGCAGCTCACAGAAGGTAGGGGGCTCTCCTGTACTATGCCTAGCTAATTGCATGCATGGCAGGTGGTTTCTACATAGTTCATCGTAAACAAATGTTGACAACATTTTTCTTAAACAGCTTGAAAGACTTTAAGCCCAGTACTGTAAGCCCTCGCTAGTACTGTTTGTTGGTGTACTATGTATAGCCTCTACCAGGCTTTTGAGGCTTCTTGACAGAAAAGAAATTGACCAAATAAACAGATACCATGCCAAGGGAGTTGCCCTTCTGAGGCCTGGTAGAGGCTAGTGTACAACTCTCTTTTCCCAGCCGGGGGCTGAATTTTTAGAATGCCTTTTCATTTCTTTTCTAACTGAAGTTTGTGTTCTCTGTTTCGCAGCCCAAGACAGCCCTGCCTGCTATCTACCACCCCACAGGATCTGTCTTGTGAGTCGCAAACTCAAATAGGCTTTTCTATTTTGTACAATCTGTTTCCCAACATTGTCATTGAAAATATAAGTATCTTCATGCAATTTTTAGTTGTACTGTATAAGTTGGATCACTATATAGAGATTGACAAAGTCTAAGGAAAGAAAGAAAAAAAGATAATCCCTGCCTACCGACCCTAATTTTTTTTCAGGACACACAACATTTTCACAGATATTTTTTTTTGCCCATGTACCTGTGCAGTGAGCTGAGTAGTCAGAAGTACGAGGTAGTGCAGGCCAACAAGGTGGAGGTGGCCGTACCGTGGCTGAACGATGTCATCACCTACTTCACAGTCGGGCTGCAGCTCTGTCAACAACTCAAGGATAAGGTCAGTTCAACATTTTTTTCCGTCAGCCCAGGTTCCAGATCAGACCTAGGGGGAGAGTGCTCACAATCTAGGGGGCTCTGGGGGCAAATTTTGTGCCTTTAAAAATGCAGTTTCCTACATTTTGGGTGGCAAATCATTGGGTCGAGAGTAGTTGTTGGTAGTCCTTTCCATATAAGACAAGATGTTTATCACGAATTGGTTTGAAACAATTTCTGGCAGGTCCCAGTGTTGTGTCCTTGGAAAAGACACTTAAAACCCTTCTCCTCTCTAGACTCAGAGAAAAATGAGTAAAAAAAAAACTATGTAGCTTTGGTTAGGGATATCTTCTCGGCTAGGACGTAAAGCCAAATGTCCCATGTTTGAGGAGAGAGACACCTTGAGCACGTTAAAGATCCCATCGCACTTACCAAAAAGTAGGGGTCCTTCCTGGTGTATCTGTATCTGTATAGCCGGTATAACCGCCTTTCGGTTCAAACCTTACAGTCTGGTTTCAGGGTTGACATCTCAAAAATACATGTATGTGTGACAGTCAACTGTTTTGTCAATCCTTCCGCAATACATTGTGGTAAATATCGACACATAAAAAAACATGTCCCTACGTTCGTTCCCGCAGATTACGGTATTTCAGCAGTACTGGAAAGACTGAAGAAGAGGTATCCCATCATGCACTTGTGCTGTGGAAGTCACCATATTTCAAAACCTGGTGCAATATCTTCAGTTTTTTGTCCTACCTTGTTTGC